ATCCACGGCAATCTGTCGCTGCTCACCTGTCCAGACGGACAAAACCCTTCAAGTAGTGATGAAGAAGTTGGAGGATATCCGCAATCGAGTGCTCTGACTGCTTGAGTGTCTGCATCATTCGTATCGGGTATCAGTAACAACGTTGTTCAACAAGGGTACGAAGGTCGCGCTTCGTGAGGAACTTTTTGGGGTGTCCAAAGAGGGATAAGCTCAGCACCAGTTGTGCTTATGCTACAGTCAACTACCATTGCATGATTGTTCTGCCGTGGAATGTTCAGCGTCACAATGCATAGGAGGAATTCGTAGAGTATATCGAAGTGTAGCGAAAACTCTTCGGGCTCCCAAGTCTGGAAGCCCGGCCATCGGATCGGCCGTCGTGAGGATAACTAAGTGGCTCGAGCACTCTCCTAGAGACACCGGCGCGCAAGGATCGTTAGTACCGCACGGAGACGCAGTCTTCCAATATAGATTCCCGCTCGGTGCTTAAGGATACTTCATACGTCTCCCATCACTCTGTCGAATAAAAGGAGCTTCCACTCATCAATACCGTCTATCAATTTCAGGCAACCAGAACAATTTATCTTAATCCGCCATAATGCAAACTTCCACCATTTGGATGCAGATTAGCATCTGTTTGATGGCTAATGAGCCGCTAGCGTACGGAGCGATAGCACCCATGTTCCATGAAGCGCCTAAGGAGGTATGAGCCCTCAATGATATATCTCTACCGCTCTCCAATGGTGTCAGATAGTGTATAAAATCGAGAGCTCTAAGTTTGATGATCTCCGCGGCAAAGGTTGGATGTGTTTCCTTGACGCCGGGCCTCGCAGCCTTATGTATGAACGGTCCTCGAAGGAGAACGGAGGGACTGCAAAGAATCTTGTTGGAATAACTTGTGATGATTTTACATATTTGGTGTAAGCTATAAAACGTGAAGGGGCTTCTCCGTTGAAACGTAAATGATCCAGCTGACTTTGGCTGCTTCTGTTCATCAGTACAGGCGTACTTAGAGTACGAGTCTCGGATTTATTACTGATTTTCTCAGGATCAATGGTCTCATCACGACGGTTTTTGATAAGAATATTTATGCTGGTTTTCACTACATTAAAGTCGAAGATCCGTTGAAGGAATTCAATAGTAGAGCCTTCCAACCCTCTCGTGTGACATCATCGGGAATTCTGAGGTGTCCAGAGATCGCCACCGACCTACAGGAGGTGTTCGCTGGAATCACTAATCCCCCGGACGTCGTAGCTCAGAAAGTTGGTGATGAGATCATGTCTAACATCTGTGATGAATATCGGAAGGCCACTCAGTCTTTGTTACGAAAGCCCAGATCCATCCGACCAACGGAGGCTTCGGATTGAACACGGAGTGACTCTTGGGTCCACTTTATATTCAATACTCATTTCTGATGTGATGCTGATGTACAATGTGTATTGTACATCATGTACAGTACATGATGTTCGTGATGGGAGATAGGTCTTGTGTTGGATAGTTTTGATGATCCTCCAGTGAAGAACCTCCACTGATGAGCTCCTTTCCCTTGGACCGGATGGGGCAAGGCTCTCACCAATCAGCACGCGATGGGGTACCGATGGATGAGTTATCCGTCTGAGTAATGTATGTATCATTTACGCACACCAACTGTGGCAATGTGTCCTCGTGCAAAGGGGGCTGCTGCCCTAAAGACTACGTCAGTGAATGCAAGAAACTTTCCTACTATCAACTTGGCTCGGTTTGTGATTGCTAGCGCCACTTCGAAATCTTAACGGTACAAGTTGACATAGTGCCCATTAAGGCAATGTAGGAATATATGCTCGGTTCTCTCTCTTGGGTTCGGAAGCTTCAGAAACTCTCGAAACTCAGAAACCTAGTTTTTTCACTGCAGCCTTTAGATTTACACACAACTCCAAGTGTGTTACTCTCTACGGAAAGCAACAAGAGTCTTGTTACAAGACTTCTCGAGATTTCTCCGGACTCTCCTCATTACCAGCAACGAGTGTAGCTGACCATGTGGATCATTCCGCACACGAAGTGTTCGGTTCATATCAGCCAATCTGGCCTTGATTTTTAGGCCCGGTAAACTTGAGCTCAACCCACCCGCCTGGCCCGTTATTGGTGGTTTCTCGCTACTTGTTGTATAATAATGTACCCCCGGGCAGCCAGGATTCGAGTTTCAATCCTTTGACATCAGGGTTGGAGTCGCTTCTCCCAACCCCAGTGACGATAGGATTTCAGGGTGAAGTTCACCGGGTGAACTCGATACCGGTGGCATCAGGCCGGTACTTCTTTTCGAAGTTTGAGTTTGAGTAGAAGCCTGAATTTCCGAACTAGGAATGAAGTCAGTATAAAATGCGGTGATATTAGAGATGCACCTGATCATCAGATCCTGATGCATAGCACTCTCCTTACATCAGTGCTACTAATCCAGTCGTTGCCATGCCCAGGTGATGGATAATTGTTCGATTCATTCGCAATCATCAAGGGATGAACGAATTCCACTCTCATATGGATTACGGACTAAAAAGGACGCCGGTGCTGAGGCTTCGACGAACCCTGTTCGTCCACTTCACTTGAAGTCAGCGAGTGATGGTCTCGTTATGATGAAGTCCGTCCAAGATGCAGGTTCAAAGTAATTCTACATGAAGAGTGCTCCTTGTCAACAAGGCCCCTTCGCAACGACGTTGAAGAATCTTCAATGAAGATCTCGAGCCAACTCTGCGTCATCCACAGTGACAGGCTGACCAGAGGCTATATAAAATACCATTCTGATTCTGCTCTCGTGAGCACTTAGCGTTATTTCCGAACCGCTCAGTGAATGAGACTTCAACCGATCACAGGCTTATAGCACAGCTTCCCAACAGAGAGCTTCTGGACAACTTGGTCGGGTTCAAATGTCTCGCTAGAAACGAGGGCGAACGGACAGATCGCACAAGCTCGCTCGATATTGACCTTTGGATCTGTGAATTTGCATGAGAATTGGTAGAGGTCACCGTATGAGATTCTTATACAGCTTCTGATATATTTATTCCAGAATAGAATGCTTCAGCGACTTACTTGAATGAGATGCGAGAAACTCGTCTGTGCTGAGCCCTCTGTGAGCGACTGAAATATTTCGTCTTATACAAGGACTAATTTCGAGTTATGTTTGATCAGCTGTTGTTGTTGTTGTTATCCATTATGTCAACTACGAGACGGTTGACTGTGGTTCTTGGGCTTGGCCTCAATAGAAGCGTTTTCTCCCGAGCCGATGGAGACATGGGAAAAGTCTGCCCCTTGCATGCCTTCCCTATGAAGCAGTTCAAGGTGTGTTCCCCTTCGCCTGCCCGCCGACTGCTCTTGCTGACCTACACCCTCCCACTGGGAACTATCCCCGAATCCTCGTATGATGAGAGAGGCCGTGGGTTCCATCCCGGCTATGAGCTTTCAGTAGAAGCCTTGCATCTGATATCGTTCCGTTCTAGAGGAATCCCGGTGTCTTGCCTTGATCGGTACGCACCTCTACGAGTGACTTTCCTTCATAGAGCCTATCAGTTCGCCTTTCTATACCGTAGCGGCTCATTTGCTCGCCGACTTAGGGCCGTAACATGAGATAGGTCAGCCGTCTCATGGGACTAGTCCCATTTCAGCGAGCAGCATTCCCGTTTTCTAGCCTCTCATACTCAGCAAGTTCGAACTCGATACTATTGAATCAATAGTTTATATAGCATTTGTTGATTATACTATTATTCGGTAGCGTCCGTCGTCCAAAGATTCCTCCCAGGCGATGACCTCTTACCCCCCTACTGGTCTGGCCCCCACTGTTGAGCACCTCCCTCAATGGATCAGGCTCGGTCTCGGTGACAAGGAGTATATTTGTGAAGAAAAGAAGGCAACGTTCGATCCAGACAATGTAAGCTATTATTCTCTAATCGCCTCTTCGCGATTGTGCCCCTGTCATCTCAGCTTCCCGATAACCTGCCTGATCTCTTCAAGCACAGCAGCTATATGGCAGAGTTGCTGACCGAGAAGCCCGAACTTTACGACAAGCTCAAGAGCAAGATTACTAAGAACGGTGAGTCTCCCTCGTGTCACGCCCTGGATGAAAAACCTCTCAAGGTGTTAATCTCGGCAAATGTATCAAAACCGGTGTCGATAACCCCGGCCATCCGTCGATCAAGACTG